GTGTGTTTTTTTTTAAATAATTTAATTTTAAATAAAATAATTACAAATAATAATTATTTTAAAGTTTATAAAAATAAATTTTTTAACAAAAAAAAAAAAAAAAAAATTTTTTTTGTAAACTGAAAAGTGAAATGAGGTCTACTTAAGTATTTTAATTCAAGTTGAAGTTTTTTTAAAATAATATAGAATTGATAATTTATAGTATTAAGTATATATTTATATACATATATACTTAATTATTAAAAGCTATGAAAATTTTTTTAAAAAAAAAGAATAGTAAAAAAAATATTTTCAGTTTATATTTTTGATAACCATATCAAATAGGTAAGTTTTTTTTTTTTTTTTTTTTTTTTTTTAATAAATTATAAATAATTGAAAATTTTAAATAATTTTTTTAAAAAAAAATATTTTAAGAAATGTTTAAAAAAAAAAAAAATTTTTTTTTTTCTAATTATAAATGAAAGTATTTAGTTAGTACTTAAATTAAGAACATGGCGTTGGAGTCAACATTTGACTCAACGTGTTTTAATTTAAGTGTCATTTCTGCTCTGACTTTTGTCGTATCACCTTCTTAAAAATTTTTTTTTATTATTTGTTAATAATAATAAATTTAACAAAGGGTAAAAAAAAAATTTTCTATTTATAACAATTAACTGCGAAATAATTCGAAATATGTAATTTATATTGAAATTTAAAAAAAATAATTTTTTTTGAACTGAATTTTATTCTGGTGAGTAATTTTACTTAAAATAAATTCTCTCTCTCTATATATATATAGGCGTTTACTTTTTAATATTTGAATAGTTTTTAAGTAAAAATTTTAAAGTTTTCAATAAATTTTTCTCATTTAAAAAAAAGTAAAGGATTAAAATTCATGAAAAGTTTTTCAACGATTTGTTATGACTTTAATAAGTTATAACAAATAAATAAATAAAAATTTATTACTCGATAAATTGTATATAAAATGTATCCATTTTTTAATAGGTTCTTTCTTATAAAAAAGGTAAAAGTAAAAAAAAAATTTTTTAAATGTGTTTTTAAATGTACAAGTATACACTCGATTAATTTAACTTTAAATAATTTTAATTATTTAAAACATTTTTAAAATCGTTAATAGTTATTCAGGTAAATAACGAATAGTGATGCAAGAAAATAATTATAAAATTTACATTTTGCAATTTTAATTTTTTCTGATATTATTTTTAAGATAGTAATGTTGATTTACCAAATGGTTTTTTAAAAGAATTCACAGTTTTATTTTATTATCGAATTATTCTGAATTTTTTAATTATAATTTTTTTTATAAATAATTTACAGTTAAATAAATAAAAAAAAAAAAAAAAGGCACCTTAAATGAAAACTATTTGTGGATTAATAAACAAAGTAAAGTAAAATCAAATATCATTGTTATGATAATAATAATCAAAGATTTAATCATAGCTTACACTTATGAAAAACATTTAAATTTTTCTTTTTTTTTTTTTTCAGTTTATTTTTTCATGTTCTTTTGATGAGTTTGTAGTAAAAAAAATTTTTTTTTTTTGTTTTGTTTCATATTCAGTAAATATTATCTATTTAATAATAATAATAATTTTTGTTATTGTACTAATAAGATATTATTTGTTCGATAATTAAAAATTATTTTCATTTCTTAAAATTTTTATACGATAAGGAATTTAATAATTGAAATAGGTCAGTTTTTATACATTTTGTTTTTTTATTTCAACTACCAAATTAATTAATTAGATTTATTACATAATTTATTGTAATTATTATTTATTAATATATTCATTACATAATTTTTTCTAATCAGGTCGATGTTAATAATAAGTGCAGTTGCTGTTGTTTTTTTTGTGTTACGGTTTATGTAAATAAAAAAAATTTAATTTTTACGACTTGAATTTGCTTTTTTCCGACATTTAGTAAATAAATCATATTAGGTTAATGATAATAATAAATTAAAGTCCTAAAAAAAAAATTATATATAATACAGTTTTAGTGTTATAAATAAAAAAAAATACAACACAAGTTTTTTTTTTTTTTTTTTTAATTGTAATCTTTGATTTAGGCATGTTAAAAATAAATTAAATTTTATCACGGTCTCACCTTTACAAAGTCAAGTCTTGTCCTTATCTGTCATTTTATGTGGTATCAATGTTATCAAATTTGTTGCCAATTTTTGCCTCCTTTTTTTTTTTTTTTTTTTTTGCTGTTTTATTTATTGTTCTTATCATTTTTATCGAATTAAAGTCTTATTAAATTATTATCGTTCCAATTCCTTAAATACATATGTATTTGTTCGCAATAATAATAATTTTTTTTTTTTTTTTTTTTTTGAGGGTAATTAAGTTCTCAAAATAAAATATTATTTTACAGGAAAACATAATAATAATAATAATAATAAATATTTATTCCTATAGAAATCCAAAACAGGGGGGGGGGGGAAATGAAATGGTTTAATTATAAATGTTTTTTTTTTTTTTTTATGTTTCAGGTTTGATATAAAGCGCAAAAATTAACAGAAATAATCACAGGAGTATTAACAATTGGTTTTTTCAATGGGTTGAGAAGCCGCCTTGAGGTTCTTTTTAAGGACCATTTCATTCTGAATGATATACCTAGTTTATTTTTATTTAAGGAAGACTGTTCTTTTTAAAATAATAATAAATTTACAAAAAAAAAAAAAATAGTATTTTGTAAGTATTTGTAGTTCAATTGAGAAATAATTTACAGTCGAGAAAATTTACTTCCAATCGACAATAAAAATTCTTAACATGATTTTGACCTAGTTCCCTTTTTTTTTTTTTTTAATTTAATTAATTTTTTTGTTTAAATTATGTAATAATGTATATTAATTATAAAAAAATTATTATTATTATGATTACAGATTAAAAAATAAGGATAATTTTAATCAAAGTTACTATAAAGAGGATTTTGTTAGCATAATTTTATTATACAAAATACATAACAAGTATACTTATAGTCTGGTTTGATTTTTTCTAAAATTTAAAAAAAGAAAAGAAAAGAAAACAAAGACAATGTTAAAAGTTGTGGGAGCTTCTTGGGTTAAAATTCGCATGTCAACATGGATTATTGGTATCGTTTTGGTTTTTGGCATAATTGTTGTTATACTGGGACAAATGGGAGAGTAAGTTTTCTATTTGTTTATCGAAATATGTCTGTTACCTTTAAACTTTTTTAATTTTAATTTTTTTATCAATTTCAGATCAGAAGAAGATGGAAATTATTCAGCAACTGCTTATTGGAATGAAGAAACGGGTTTTGAAATTAAATTCTGGGGACAAGGATTGGAAAAAGATAAAATACCCAAAGGAGTGGCAAGAGTTTATTTTCAACCTCACATCGATACAACTGGGTAAGTCAATTTTTTTTACTTTTTTTTTTTTTTGAAGTTGTTTAAAAGTCTACATTTAATATTTTATATACCTGTCGGGTTATACAGGTGGGCTATTATAGATGTGGAAACTCAGTCAGAATATCCGGATTGGGTACAGGCATATGCAGCAGGAATGCTAGAGGGTAGTTTATCATGGCAACTCATTTATTGGCATTGGAAAAATACCGTGCAATCCGTTTGTCAAAATCAAACACTTTTTTGCAAATACATAAAAAAATACCTGGAAGAAAATTTTAAATCTGTCAAAGAGTTGTACGAAAATACAGACGATCCATATTGGCATCAGGTACGTGTTTTTTGTAATTAAAAAAAAAAAAAAAACATTTCATTCATTTAAAAAAAAAATTTTAATGTAAAAATTATTATCGTCGTTCAGGCCTATCTTTTTTACATACAATTGGAAGGAATGCAACAAGGATTTGAACATGGAGTCAAAAGAAAAGGGTTAATAATTGAAGAAATTGAATTTATTGATTTTTTGTAAGTTTAATAATAATAATAATAATAATAATTACATTACGGGTTGTGTTTACATAATAATAATAATAATAATAATAAATTAATGAAATTTATTTATTTTTACAAATGCTTTCAATAGGATGTAATTAAAAGTGAGTCTAATTAAAATAGATTTACATAATGGGGGAGTGGAGGGGGGAGGGTAGGGGGAAGTTTTAAATGGACACGTTAAAACATTCCATGATTACAAATAAAAAATAAAAAAAAATTATTTTTTAGATGGATGAATGCAGCAAGCGACATAATCGATTTAGAATATAAATTCTACGATTCGAAACCTTATTCTACAACAACCACAAATTCTTCTTCTTTTTCGGCAAATAATAATAATAATAGTAATTTATTATTGAAAAAATTAATACAGGGAAGATCGGTTGAAAATCATTTGAATAATAATAATAATAATAATAATAATAATAATAAGGACAATGTGGAATCCATGGAAAAATTATCATTCGTCGGTTGCGGAGTGACTTTGGGATCGGCTTTGTTAAATTCATTCCAGAATATGAGAAATTATTTTTCGCCCATAATTCCGCTGGACCGTTCGTAAATAAAAATTTTTCTTTTTATTACATTTTAATTATTATTATTATTAAAAAATTTTAATTTTAATTTTTTTCCAACAGGTACGTTTCAATGCTTAGAATGATAAAAATTTATCAATTGAGGTATCGATGGTCGCGAAATAATTTTTGGACCCTCGAAAACAAATTAACATTTTCTTCTTATCCGAGCGCCATACACTCCATCGATGATTTTTATATAATATCTAAAATGGGGAAGAAACAAAACTTTTGGTCGCCGGAACTCCGATAACGGTTTTCAATAAAAATTTATGGAATTTAGTTTCTCCTTTGAAGCAGGTATGACGCAAGCACGCACGCACACGCACACACGCATCGGTTTGCAAGGGATGAAATATTAAATTGAAAATTTTTTACTTTTTTTTTTTTCGGTAGTTGTTGAGCGGGGTGCGGGTTGTTGTTGCCAATCGTTTATCGAACAACGCATCGGATTGGGGTAGTTATTTGTCAAAATACAATTCCGGAACCGGAAATAAACAGTGGTTGATTATAGACGTGGATAAATTCAAAAGAAAAATAAATGATTCGTCGGTTGGAGAGAGAGAAAATTTTTTCTGGGTTGCCGAACAACTTCCGGGTCATTTTAAAATTGACGATTTGACGGAAAATCTTATCAATTCGAGTTATTGGGCGAGTTACGGACTTCCGTTTTATAAGGTGACTGATTTTTATATATAAAAATTATAAGTTTTAAAGCTCATTTTAAAATAAAGCAAATTGTTTGTTTGTTTTGTCAGGACATGTACGAAATGAGCGGAACGAATTACATGAAAGAAAATTTCGGCGACGCATTTTCCTACGAAAATTCACCTCTGGCTAAAATATACAGGAGAGATCATAATAAATCCACGTCGATAAAATCAATATTAAATCTCATGCGATCAAATTCATTTAAAAGGGATCCATTGTCGTTGGGTAATCCAAGATGTGCAATCGGAGCTCGGGGTGACATTCCAAACAAAGTTTCCAATTCTTTTCCAATCGGTGTCATCGATTCGAAAATAATATCGTTGGAAAAAAAATTGGAGAACGTGACGTCAAACGATACGACGACGAATAATAATAATAATATTATACCCTTTAATAACAACGTTTCAAACGATGAATTGATTATATTTAAAGCGGTTGCGGGTCCGGCACATTCGTTGCATAAAAATTCGGAAAATTTAAAAGGAAATGACGAAATAAGAAAAGAAAAAAATGAAACCGTAGAAGTAGAAGGAATAGGAGTAGGAGGAGGAGATGATGACACTTTAAAACCGTTCAATTGGCAAAATAGCGTTTTCAATGAATTTCCTCATAACGGTCATCCAAATAATTGGGATTTTGATGCAATTTCTTTATCACCATAAGAACCATAATACAAGATTAACAAGGTTTTCATTTTTTTTTTTTTTTTTAATGTTAAAAACATCACAATAAACGATTTATTTACATGAAAATTTTTTATTTATTTTTTATTTTTGTTTATAATAACGAATATTTTTATTATTTTAAATCTTGTTAATAAATCATTTTAAAAATTATTATCACAATAAAACCCATTTTAAAAAAATGTAAACTTACATAAAAATTATTTATAACATGAAATTTATCAAAAAAAAAAAAAAGAAAAAAAAAGATAAAATGATTTATTAAACAGGATTTAATTTGTACGTTTTAATAATTTCCGTCATTAACTGTTTTTTAATTATTATTATTATTATTATTATTATTATTAGGTTTAATAATGAATAGTTTAACGGAAAGTTTTAATTTTTTAAATAAATGAATAATTAATATTAATATATGATAACATTAAAATTTACCGTTATCTCATTTTCAAGGTTATCAGTAAGTATAAAAAACATTTAATTTTTACCTATGGACGATATTAAACACATCTATTTATTTATTTATTAACTTTTTTTTTTATTTAATTATTTTTTTATGTAAAATAGTTGACATTTTTTATGATATTATTTTTAAGACCAGAAGAAAATTAGAGATGGAAATTAATAACTGATCGATAAATCAATCGAACAAAAGAATTTTTTTTTTTAAGTATAGTGGATTTTTTAGGGGCGGGGATTCTGGGATTGAATTTCCCACGTTTGATTTAGGGGTAAATCTTTAATTTAGATGCCTTGGGGTAGCTCGAAGTAGTCAGGTTGAATCTGAAAAGGGGAAAAATCGGGTCAAAAGTCATCGAGTCGAGAGTCGTGATTTCTATTTCAGTTCGTCCGAACATGAACAGACCTGTACCTTGTTTCGTAAGGGTGAGTTCTGGGCACTTGATCCAAAATGGGGTAGAGGCGGAGCAACAACGTGTGAGGAAGACAGATCACCACGGACATTCCCTCTCTGGAAACTCGCAGACTTTGAAGAAGATTCAGGAACGATGGCAACAGATCGGGACTGTTTCTCGAAGGGTAAAAAATAAAAGTATGGAGATCTTTTTCAGGTGGATCTGATGATTCTGACTCTGGAGGGGATTGAGGCTGTACTCCCACGAACGCCCCTCCCTCCGGGAAACCTACTACCCTCTTGGGAAGGAGGATACTACAAAATGCATTTCTCCTTTGATTCAACAAAAAAAGGTAAGAAAATAATTTTCATTTTTTTTTTCTTTTTTTTTAAGGGTTTTCTATTGTTCGATACATAAAATAAAAATTTATTTATTCATTCAACCGTTCGCGTTGTTTTAATAAATAAATAAATAAATACATAACTTTTTATTTTTTTATTTTTAATTATTAAGACTAGAAAAACGTTTTCTTTTCTCTCTCTCTCTCTCTCTCTCTCTCTCTCTCTTTCAGTTAAAAAAAAAGAAATTTAATTTCTTTGAAACAACGAATCATTAATAATAATAATAATAATTATCATTATTATTATCAATAAGGTATATTGTCTTTCAAATGTGCTTGTTTTCTATATTCGGTTTTTTCACATTTTCCCCACCATGAATATTTTAAACAAACTTGTTTAGGTTTTAAAACAAAACATTTCGTTTGTACAACATTGAAAAATAATTTTCCAACAAAAT